TAAAACCAACTTTTAAGTCGAAAATTATACTAAAAAGCAAAAAAATTATATCCCTATAAAAATAATCGGTATTATTTTAGGAATAAAAAAATATTTCATCTAGTAATATTAGTGAAAATTACATTGTCCAAGTAGACAATAGATAATAAAATGCTCATAAAATAAAAACGACTGGGTCAAACTAAATAATATTTTAAAGAACTAAACGGCAAGTATTTCCCATCGAACAAAAAAAAATCACTCAAATTCGATTGGAAATCATTAAGTAATCGGTGTACATATAAACAAAGTATCGTGAAAATTACATCGTCCAAGTAACAAAAATGCTTATGAAATTAAAACTACTAAACTAAACTGGATTAATTTTTTATGGGACCAAATGGTAACTATTTTTAATCGAACAAAAAAGAATCCCTTAAATGGGACGTCGGAGTATACGGTGTACGTACAAAAAAAAACATGCTGACCGAATTGAGAACTACCTCCTTTTTGATATCGGTTAAAAAGCACAGGAGAATTTCGAGATCCTGTCTCAGTATTTTTTTTTCTGTTTCAATAGACCATGACTTTTTATTTAGTTAAGTTTAGAAATATGTACTCAGGTTAAATCAGATTAGATTTCGGAGGATTTTTTTTGTAGTTTAAATTTTCATTAGCATAAAAAACAGCGGCATTTTAAGTACCAAAGTTGTACCAGTGGCTCGTGTGGGTGGAGCCTAATGGATCGACTCCACGAAAGTTGTTCATTGGATGTTATCAATTCGTGAACATGCAGATCGAAACGCTGACACGCTGTTGGTACTCCACAATGTTTATTTATAGCGGACGGTTTTGAAACAACAGGTTGGACTGTTTGCAAATAGGATACTGTTGAGGAAATCAGCTCTGTTTTGAAATAGCCCACCCGAGTGATCTCTAAGTTAAAATAGTTGGTGCAGTTGTAAACTGAAACATTGGTAATGTTTGCTTTTACCTACCCCTACTTGATTAAAAATAGACTTCAGGATACTGAAAGAGTATTTAGCCTTTTAATTATACTAATGGTCGTACAGGTACTGGCTAAAATTCGACCTTTGTAGTTCTTCTTTTTCTGTCAAGTATTACAATTCTAGTATTAGAGTCATTATGTATTGGTTTGCCAAAGGCATGGAAACGGACGCGGCAAACTTTTTGAGCAAACCAGAGAAATACCTGCGCGGTAGACTTTTTTGTATGTAAAATTGCTAATGCGCAGGCTCCCTTGTCCATGGTTGTTACTTAAGAAGTTTGCCGGAACGTATATTATATGTAAATATTTACATTACGGATTAAATCTATTTCTAATCCATTATATTTTGGAAATATTATCTTTCTGCACTCTACTATATACAGTGCCATCTTTGACCTATTAGAGGCCCTGGGCATATTAGGATAATGAGGCCCCTATGACCCCTGTTTGGTGATCTAACAGGATCTAGGGACTTGTATTTGTGATCTGGGTGATCTGCCCCTATCGCGGGGCCCTGGGCACTTGCCCAAAGTGCCCACTGGGAAAGACGGGTCTGACTATATACATGTTTACTTTGCTAATCTTACATTCATCCATGAGCAAAATTTGTTTCAGAATTACTCGACACCTTTTTAAAATAATGAATATTCTGACTTTTGTGTTTTTTTATCGAAATCATCTTCACTTTTAACATAGATTAGTGATCTCAAGAGAAACTTTAACACATCTCTAATCATTTTCCTTGTATCTAAAAGAGAATGTTCTTTACTTGTTACGTTGGAATTCTTCCAAATTTATTGAATTACTCGAGTTCGCAATATCGCTCGCAGCAGCTAAAACAACAATACAAAAAGAATTAACAGATCCCCGATAAGTGGACTTTCAATTGTGTACCTGGACCTTACGTAATAAGCTATTAAGAGCTACAGAATTGATCTACGTTAACTTAGATGTACAGATGGTAATGAAATATGTTATAATAACGACTGTTATCGCTCGCTCCGTGTATTTGTTTTTGATGCATGTGTCTGTAGTATTAATAGTAGTTAATATTACGGTAATGAAACTTCTATGGAGAGTATAAATAGAAGTTTTACTTAGCGATAAAATATAGACTAAATTATAGCTATTAACGGGATTATTACCATGTACCGGTCTGTTGCAAGCGCCATGATAACGGAGTAAAAGAGATCAGTGATCAGTTACTCCGTGATCATGGCGCTTGCAACAGTGCCGAAATATCGGAGACTCATAAAAAACAAAGTATATGGTAACAATCCCGTTAATAGCTATAATGTTAGTGACCATGAAAGTTTAAAACAATATAATGTCTAAATACTGTATTCTAATTAAAATCTCAATATTAAGTAGACGCAATTCTGTTTGGGTCGTACCTCTGCCAATTTCTTGTTACATTTTATTCGGCTACACGAGTATTTCGCAGTAATTCAATACGATTGACAGACAGAGTAATTGCTCATATTAACATATATTAACGGTAGTTACATACCACTGGCAAGCCCTTTCTCCGCTTATTGTTTTCTTTATTTTTACCTGATTGTGATAAGTGTAGTTTTGTAGTAAAATAATGTTTAACAAAAAAACATACTTAATTGGAAAAAAAAACCATTAGTTTACAACTAGTTAAATGCATTGGCCGGGCATGTAATCAGTTCATTTTTTAATGGTAACAAATTTCTTTACATAGATAAATCTTAAAAATAAATGCTGTTTAATAAAAAAAATAAAAAAAACAGACTTCCTAGTGCATATCATTAAGATCCACTTGCACCAACATTCTTTAATTAAAGCTTAATTGAGATTATCTTCATCCTTGAGTTCTATTTGAAATCAAGAGTAACAGAAAACAGAGAAAGAACTATTTGGATTCAAAAGAATTGGCATACCATTGAGCCTTAATAGTTTTGAACACGATTTTGTTTTTGATTTCATTTATGAACTTTGGTGCATGTGCACCTTAAAGTCAGTTGAATTACTTGTTATCGACCTGCAGCATTATATTGTAAAGTGCGGAACCAAAAAATTTCAAAGCGGCCCAAGATCCCTCGCGCTGATAGTAGCCTGGTTGCGGTGTAGCCGCAGGCGGCGGGGCCCAGGCTAAACACCAGCTATTCAATTTTAATACACTTTAATTCGTTCCAGATGTTCTTTTAGTAGTAGCGCCTTCTCCTTTTTTATTACAATCTTAATGAACCTCCTCTGTGAGGCTATTGAGACACGCATACATTATCGCTTCTTAAACAAATTTAATTGCTTGCGGCAATATTAAACATTTTTTTTTGAAATCGCCTTAATTATGAGCTTTAATATAATCAATCTTAGTAAATTACATATTTTGTATGTATAAGTTTACTACTTATACGCTGATTAAGTTATTTGCCTCGAAAACTAACTCACAAAATCAAGCGATTGTTGCATAATAGCAAATTCTGAGATTATCCGGTGACAAGTACTTGGTTGTAATTCAAGCTGAACTACGAAGTAGCAACTTGATTCAAAGATATGTACTAAATCTCACCTCTAGGTACTACGCAATGTAGTTAGCTGAGCGACGGAACCATTACCAACGCAAGATTTTATTCCTGAGATTAATTAAAAGATACGGCGACGGGCTAGCCGTCAGCAAGAGTGAAAACGCGTCATCTCATCTCCTTGACATGAACGAATAATACGATACAATCGTTATCCAATCCCGTTCTGATATAACCAGTAATCTAGCTTGCCCCAGCGAAACGAGCGATGGAGTCTCTACTGATCTAAGTATACGGCACGGAGCAAATAACAGGTGCAACATTAGAAAATCGCCGGCGGCAGTAAGGGTTGCGTGCGGTAGACCAGTTATGCCAAGGAGAGTCACTAAGACCATTTTCGCAAATGATATACGTTTTCCATCAAAATGTTCGAGTTAGTTATTATGGCATCATGGCCAACGGGATTTTCTTGACCCTCGATTTGAATTTTGTCCGATCTGAATGATTATGTTGTTACATTTATGGAATGATGATAAGTCATAAGTCCGCGAGTTTTAATAGCAGGTAGGTCTGGCAGTCGAAGATTTTGCAAATTTTCCTACCATAACAGTCATAAAACGTGTACACGGTGAATTTATAGCAATAAATGGGATTCATATGTTCGCCGTAAAACCGAAACATGCTTGAATAATGTATAGGTCTAGTTGTGAGTTATATCTGCGTAGGCTGTCTTGATGCAAGTGGATGTTATTATTTTGTCTCTGAAGCAACTACAGACTACTTGTCTAGCTAGAGTAGTTGTACTTGTTACAGCTGGTTAGCTCACACTTTCTAATGAAGAGGTAGATTCAAGTGACAACTTGATACCAACAATTTTAGTTCAGATGTAGTTAATTACAGTCATTGTGAGATCCATTAAAGATTTATCTACATCGTATCGATTACAACTCGATGGTAAATTAAATTGATTATACACTATGGAGAGTCTAACATATCCATATCTTAAATATATATATATATATATATCCGACAAAAGTGTCCGGTAACTTTTCTGTTAAGCATCGAAATTAAATCTTGGTGATACATTTTGAGTCTGATCGATTAATTAGAGAGTCTGAGAGAGAGGCTGATCGATTAATTGGTGCCAAAACTCTCGATATTGCGCAAACGAAATGTTTTGGCAGAATTTAAAGGGCACTTACATTTCGACAGGTGTCAAGTGCCTTTAGTTGTTCGTCCTTTTTGATGTTTGCGGTTTTGCATTTTTTTCACTTTTCATTTATTACCGCAATTTAATGTAATTGCCTTACTGTAGATTGCAGAACTCATATCAACAGTCCATAAATATTCAATAATACTTTAATTTATTGTACTACTTTTGGACTGAAAACTATGAAATTAAATTTTTTTCAAGAAATAAAATGACTGTTAAGTGTCATTTGTTTACCACACTCGTAGTAGATAATGTAGTTCAATAAATTTTGGTTTCGGTAAAGTAATTGTAATGCTTTTTTTTTCAGTCTCGATCGGCACTTGATCCAAGCGCACGCGCAGCCCGCGTCGGCGTTCCGTTGCGAGCTTTGCAACCGCGCGTACAGCTCCAGAGCTTTACTTTTACGCCACCGAGCTCTTGCCCACACTGACATCAGGAAATACCCCTGCGAGAACTGCCCTAAGGTACTTTGGAATTGATATTCGTGCACAATTTTCGTTTCGCGTGTTGATGTAGTCATAATAAATTGAGTCAATCAATAAGTAAAACTTATTAATAATACTTCTAATCCCGACAAAGATTGAAGTGTTACAACTAATAGTCTAGTATTAATTTCTTGACAATCATCATTATATTATGATTTGTTGTTACCTTAGCTTTATATAGGGAAAGCCTATGCTAAAAACACTACTATAAGTCACGTACTATTTACTTATTATTTATTTACTATTTACTATTTACTTTTACTTTACTACTATTCATTCCTAAAATTTGGTCATTATTACGTTTAAAAAATCAAACGGAGTTTTTCACTAAGATAATGTGACTTAAACGAAATCTTACTTACCTAAAATATGGCGATAATGCACTTAACAAGTAAATTGGACGTAAACAAGATCATAATAATAGCAAAGAAAACAAGCATAAAGTTTCACGTTGTCCGAAACCTGATGTTATTTCAGGTATTTACCGATCCTTCCAACCTGCAGCGCCACATCCGCGCGCAGCACGTGGGCGCGCGCAGCCACGCCTGCCCCGAGTGCGGCAAGACCTTTGCCACCTCCTCCGGCCTCAAGCAGCACACGCACATCCACTCCAGCGTCAAGCCGTTCCAGTGCAAGGTCTGCTTCAAGGTCAGTTACTTCTACATCAAAACCTAAGCTTCGTAAAATCTGTTAGCGTAGTCGATCTGAAATTGTCAATCCTACTTCGCGTGCGGCAAGACCTTCACTAGTTCCTTCGGCCTCAAGCAGCACACGCACAACCACTCCAGAGTCAAGCTGTTCCAGTTCAATGTTTGCTTCAAGGTCAGTCGCCTCTTCATCAAAATCATCAAGCTTTATGGTTCAGTAATTCATCATATGCAGTCTGCGATCGTGAAAGTGGCGAGATTAGGACTCAATCTAGCCCCTAGAGCGGGAGGACCTCCGCCATCTGCTTCGGCTTCAAGCAGCACACGCATATCCACACCAGCGTCAAGCCAAGTGCAAAGTCTGCTAAAAGGTCAGTAACTTTTTTATAAAAATCTAAGCTTTGTAAAATACGTTAGCTTAGTCAATAAGCAATCGTCAATCTTGCCTCGAATGCAGCAAATCTTAGAGACCGGAGGAGGAGGTACCACCGACCTCAAGCAGCAAACGCACATCCACTCCAGCGTCAAGCCGTTCCAGTATTATATCTGCTTCAAAGTAATTCATCACTTCATTATAATCTATTTAACCAAGCTTGAGTACGTAGTGCGTTAGCGTCTTCGGTCTGCGATCGTGGAAGTGGTGGGATCGTGAATCAATCTTGCCGCAAGTGCTTTAAGACCTTTGCTACCTCGTCCACTCCAGCGTCAAGCCGTACCTATGCAAATCAGCTTCGATCTTTGACATCTTGATCTTCAGCATCCACCCGCTCATTAAAGTCATTTTTTTGAGAATTCCGCAGGAACCTAATATTTTTCCGGGATAAAAATATATAAGACCAGGTAATATGTGTGTCAAGTTCATCTAAATCCGTTCCGCCACTTTTGCATGATTGAGCAACAAATATCCAATAGAATGCAGTGAAATAAATTTTAAATTATAGATAGATTCAATCGATAGAAAATGACTGGCAAACGTACAACAAACGTTAAATTCTTTGCGACTTCAAGATAAATCATGTTTTGGTTTAAACAATCACGATTAATTTCACTGTGATTAACAATAAAATGTTTCTTCATTACAGTCCTATACGCAGTTTTCGAACCTGTGCCGCCACAAGCGAATGCACGTCGCGTGCAGGGCGCTAGTCGAATGCGGAAAATGCGGCCAGTCTTTCACGTCGTACGCGTCTCTTACTAAGCACAAGAGATTTTGTGAAACCGCCGCCGCTGCTTCTGTAAACCTGCGAGGACAAATGCCGCAAGGACTACCACAGATCCCACAATTGCCAAACGTCGGCATGAATAATCCGAATAATGCGAATCCTTTTCCCCTTTACCGGGGACCAGCTTTACCGTTACCTTACAACACCTTCGCACACTATCCGGCTTTGTTTTCGGCTGCGGCTGCTGCGTGCCAACCTGATTTATTTAACCCACTCTTATTTAACGTACAAGGAGCTCGATTAAAAATGGAACATGAAATAGCATTATCAAACGCTAACATGGTAATGAATCAAGAAGGTCGCATGTCAGTCAAGAGTATCGACAGTTCGACTTCTCTCGAAGAAGTAAAGAAGAAGGAAATGGACTTTGAAAACAACAGTAGATTAATAGAAAAATCAGACCGAGGTACACCAAAATTACAAAACCCATACTCCAAACTATCTCCTCCATCGATTGAAGACACTTCACAACATAGACCTTCGCCAGGTATGGCAGTGCCGACACCGATAGTCCCGTTCAATTTCAATAGAGAAGAACTGAAGCGAAAGTCCCCTTTCAATTTTTCCTTGAAGCTAAATAACAATGACATTCAAAGGAAGTCTATCTCGCCATCACTTCCAAAAGATTTATCCAAACACAATATCAGTGATGATAAGACATCAGAATATTCTGATGTGGAAGAAGAAACAAAGAAGGATGAGGGCGATCAACCCTTAGACCTATCAGTGTCCCGTAAAAGTGATAAGGAATCGGAGCCAGATAACGATAATCGCTCCTTTCGTAACTCCTCGGTGAAGTCCTACTCACCACCAGAAAGTCCTGCAGAGAGAAGCAAGACTCCCGAAAACGATACTACCGATGTTGACGTGGAAGGTGTAGAACCAAAACGGGAAGATTCCCCATTGGTTTCACCTACTCTTGCTTTTCCAATGCCCGTCCACCGTCAGCAGAACATCATCGATGCGATGTACCGCCCGAGATTTCCGTCCTTTCCATCGTCAGAGTCGCTACTGACCTCGACTCATTCACCCTACGTCCCGAGCCCATTCAATTTTTTATCCCCACTTCTAGGTACTGACGGTCCCGATAGACAGCCCAGCGCTTACGCGAAATTTCGAGAGCTTAACTCCGGATCGAAATTAAGAGATCGCTACGCTTGCAAATTCTGCGGGAAGGTCTTCCCGAGGAGTGCAAATTTGACTCGCCATTTACGTACCCACACAGGAGAGCAGCCTTACAAATGTAAGTACTGTGAACGTTCGTTTTCTATATCCTCGAACTTGCAGCGACATGTTCGTAATATACATAACAAGGAGAGGCCTTTTAGATGTCCATTGTGTGATAGATGCTTCGGACAGCAGACGAATTTGGACCGACACCTGAAGAAGCACGAAGCTGAAGGTGGGGACTCGCCTAGTTCTGCCGACACGGAAAGGGAAGACGCTTATTTCGACGATATAAGGTCCTTCATGGGGAAAGTGACATGTTCTCCCGGGGGTACTCCTCCTGCGACTTCACCCCATGCTCCCCACCGGCCTTCTCTGGCGATATCCACATAGCCATCGGTTTATCCGCTACCGCCCCCACCACCGTTGTGGCCGCATCCATACGAGTAGCGACGAATTGGTGCTGACTTGGATGTTTTCCTGTAGTTATTTTAGCTCTGGGAGTCATTTCACGGTAAAAAAAACTTTACTGTGACCATAAATTCTATATGCAATGTCTTTTAAAAACAACGATAATATTGACTTATCGTAATATTACCAGATTAAGAATTTAAAGGCCATTCAATTGTAGAGGATTTATGCTACAAGGGGGTTTGTGAAATTCTCTATGTTATGGAATTTTTTTAACAAATCAACGATGTCTATTTAACCAATCAAATGACAAAATATTGGTATATTTTCCAGTCTTTCTTTTATGGAATTATTAATATTAGAATTTCACAAATTGCTACAGGTGTTGCGCTACGAAGTTTAAAGGGCACGTTAAGTAAATAGGCTTATTTACTTATATTATGACACAAAGGTATCGCTAGCTACAATCGTAAACATTTCTCACATGACAACACATATTATAGTAAAATTAAGACAATTACCTTAAGGATTCGTTGTTGAATATGAAATACATTATTATATAAAAATTAATTAGTTCCTAGTTTAGTTATAAGTTTGAAGTAAAACATTCGAAAGTGTAAATATAATATAAAATTACGAATTCAAATTATAGAAAATAAGTTTGTTAAATTTGTATAAAATTAGTTGTAAGCTGGTTCGTTGTTCAAAAGAATATTTTTCATGAGAGAGCAAAATTAGTTATTTTTTTATTTATTCCAACGGGTTTTCAATTCGGTTTTGATCTCGTTTAGTCAAAAAACTTACCAAAGTTTCGATAAGAAAAATGTTAAAAGAAATTTTATAGAAAAAAGCTAAATAAAGAAATTGTATGATTTATTATATTCACGCGAGATTTTATAAAACTGAAACTTAACACGTTTTATTTCAAATAATTTAGTTTGGTGATAAAAATATATCAATATGATTTTATTGTACACTGTTTAGTTTTTCAGGGCAGTTTCCGCACTTAGTCCTAATTATTGGACCATTGTGCGTGTCTTAATAAATAATGTACACTGTATAACATATCGAAAATGATACGCAATGTTCGTTCCCTCACATCACGTCTAATTTGTTATAAATATTGACGCATATCAAGTTACTGATGAAGCTCAAACGATGTAGATGTTTGTAATTAAATTTGTTCTTAATATAAGGTAGGTACAGTTTCACAGAAAAGTATTATATTAGAGTAAGCTGGATTCTCAAAATTACAATTTTTCGCTCTTTTTCTATGACAATGTATACTATTAATAATTGTGAAACATTAGAAAAAGCATCAATATAATTAGTAAGGCACCTTCGTTTTTAGATAAATAACATTTCATTAATGAAAAATTATTTAGCAGCATTGTAAAATAATACATTCTTGAATGCTTATTGTATATTAGAACTTACACAATATTGTAAAAATGTAATGCAGTATTAAAAACAATTATTAGATATTCCTAATACCATATCACTTTTAACGTGTTAGTTTATATTTTAAGGGTTTATGAATCACTTCAACAGAGTAATGAAATTAATGATACACTTCAATATTCGGTTACAAAAGTAATATAATGGATATTGTAATGCATTAAATTAAAAAACAGTACAATCTGCTTATATTTTTATTTCTCCTGGTTTATTGGTTCTGCACAGTGCTACCTAATTCATTTTATTCAATGAATATTAAATGTTTAGGTATACTCCCGCGGTACTGTAGGCACTGCCGGATTTAGGGGAGGGCAACCGGGGCGAAAGCCCCGGGGCCTCCACAAACGGGGAGGGACACAAACGGGGATCCCCACAATAGGAATATAGGATGGGACAAAACCGTCTATCGAAGCTTTCTCTCCTGAGCATTGAAAGCGATTTACTCCGAGAACACGATTTCAACGAAGTCATCAACGATTTTTCGGCGAAAAAAGCTTGAAAGGTTCCGTTCGTTAACTCTAAGATTTAATTTCAGATAATTTATATGTGTTTATATTTATATGTGTTTGTTCAATACTAAGGGAATCTACTTGGTTCACAATAAATTATTAATTCCAAAACTCGACTGAAAAAAAATTGTTTACTTTATTTGGAAAATAATTTGGGGTGAGGGGGCCTCCGTTCCTCTGTTGCCCCGAGGCCTCTGGACCTCTAAATCCGCCCCTGACTGTAGGACACGGTACAAAACTCGTCTACTTATTGATACTGTAGCGACATGGCGTATTGATACTATTTGTGTGGAGTTTATTTCGCTTGTTCTTCACTGCAATTATAAGATATAGAAACGAATAGAACTATGAATGTTGGGTTATTCATAAGTCTTTTTATATTTCCATCTAAAAACAATATATTAATTTATAGAAATAGAAATTTCCAGGAATCTAACATTGGCTATAATTTCTGTTTATATACATGAAAATTTGTAATTGTATCAAATAATGTAGCATCTCTGTGTGTAGTACCGTCGTGTATCCTTGACTTTTATAACACTTTAAAATTCCTTATGTGGGACCAGATTAAATATTTACTAATACCGTAAAGCTGAAGAGTTTGTTTGTTTGGGGCAGCGCGCTAATTTCAGGAACCACTGGTGCGATTTGAAAAATCTTTTTGTGTCGGATAGTGCATGTATCAAGGCAGGCTTTAGGCGTTATATAACATAATGCTACGGCTAATAGATCGGAACACCAACGAAAAATGATGTAAAAACCATTTGTGAGCTTCCGTTGCATGTGCTGCGTAAACGGTAAAAGTCACATTAAAATTATGTATAAAGAAATTGTTTCCCTTTAAAAGTTCAAAAAATAAATACGGGTTGCACTCCGGGAGTGCCGCCAGAAGTGAAAACTTGAATATTAACGTTGTGCATTTTTGATATTTTGGAATGGTTAGGGAATAATTTTGCACGAATTGCTTTAATTATAAGTAACATTTTATATACACGAATTTTACGAATACACAGCAGTGTGGCCACTAAACAGATGGTCGAGCCATCAGCTCTCACCATCCATGGATACGCGTGGCATGCTGTAACATAAACACACACGAACATTCGCGGAAGCGCCGCCTAAACGAAACTGCAGGCGCAGGCATACATATTCGCCGCGCTGTAGAAAGAGAGGGGGTTACTTCCTCTCCTACGCCCCCGCGCCGGCTGTCTACTCTCCATCCGACTTACGAATTTTCGATCAGGTCACGTGTCCTGACGCGAGTTTAACATTTTTTACCCATTACAAAAAAAAATACAACGCCGCTAAGGAAATTTCAAAAACTCCGTGACAGTAAACCAATGTCTGTCTTTTAAGGGTGACCTACGAGTACTATAACCTTTTTATTCCTCAAATTAATGCGGTAGAAACCGCAGGGCACTTTTAGTTTGTATTCAGTGTAAAGAGAAGCTATGCAACTATTATGAGTGTGGTTTAATATGATAGATAACATTTGAAAAACGTATCAAAAACGACAAAAAACCTAAACATTACCAAGTAGCAGCCCTGTGTAAGCCGGTACCTACATAGTTTCATTCAAATAAAAGTTGCTTGCTGCAGTCATAGAGTTACGAGTGTTTGTCTTAGGTTTTAGGTCAGTTAAATACAATAAGCACTTACTTACTATTTAAGGTAGTGTTTAATGGTTATTAGTAGCTTTGCATGGGCGAAAAGGTTAGCAATAATGTATGTCAATATGCGAACAGGTAATTCAATAAAAACATTAAACTAGACCCATTTTATGTTTCGATAGTAAAGTTACTCTTTTGAATAGTCCAATGTTTTTCCATTTATCTATTACGTTTAAGATTGTTGTCAACGGCTTGGGCCCAAGTAGGAAAAGATGTGGAGAACTAAAAAAAAACTGAAGATAAATTGCTTGCGATGAGTTTATCTAATTTCACTGCTTAGTTAGATACCAAATACTATAAAAGCGGTAAAATTAAGGCCATCAACCTTTGTGACGAGGTGCTGCAAATTATCATACTTCACCTGATGTTAAGTGTACCTAAGCGGTGTTCAAAAGTTTGTGTAGTTACTTCGGTAAAAGTAGAAACAGTTTTTACGATAGAACAATCACAGCAAATTTGGGTGCTACCATCGCGTGTCTTCTCAACCATCGTACGGCTTGACCCAGACTAAAAGAAAACCTTGCTACTACATTATGTCTACTGTAACATTCAAACAAGTCTAAAGACTAATTGGTAATTCTATAGCCCTGCACATGGGTCAAAGCCTTAAAGGTGAAAAAACCTTTCACCTCATTTGCTTGAAACTTAATTGCACACATGACATTTTAAATTGAATCTCCATTAGTAAGTAAATCGTTCATTTCGCAATCGATCGTTATCACTTTTATCTGAAAAAGATTGAGATAAACTACAATTACGTATTTAACAAAGTTATAAAAACTCAGGGGCAGTGATCGATCTTCTGTTACAAAGGACTGTCACAACTGGATCAGTGGAGCAGGGGTCAAAATTGCTGACATTTTAAGATTTAATCGAATCAGCAGATATTATATAAGAGATCACTTGGGTCCGTTATCAGTGAAAGCAAGGACGCAACAAGGACAGCAGATAACGTAATTATAGCTTATTACAAGCCGCTCGCCTGCCCCAGCTAGGACCACAGTAGCGCATCTGTTTCAGTAGTAATATTAGGATTATGAAGTATTAACGTCTGTAATGGTATAATCCTAGCTTTGGTTCTGTCCAAAAGGAAGGCCTGTTCCTTAGCAATGGCAATTAAAAATGATAACGTAAATTGTGCGTATATCTTAGAAAATATTTTTTTCATTACCAAACATAATCTTATCAGTTACTTATTCATATTCATAACAGAGACATAAACATCAAGCTTATGCTCCTAGTGAAAATCTATTACAAATTAGACTTTTTTGCCGTTAATTTTTAAATGATAAAACTAGGCACAATTTTTGACAAAAGGCAAAACTTTGGGTTTTATATATTTTGGTGCAAGTTGATTATTTATTAAATTTGTTGGAAAGAGTATAGTTATTAAAAACTTCTAAAGAAACAATTAGAAACGTCAAATAATATCCTGATATGATTTGAATATATCTGAGTAGAACGTATAGCAAAAATACTTATAAGATTATAGAATTATATAATATTGTAATTAAAGTATTTACTTTAAATTAGGTATTATGTGTGGTGTGTAAGTTCTCAAACTAGCTAAGATTGAGATAGTGAAAAAATAATGAAATACTTTTTAATAATGAAACTACTGCTTAAGTTATGTACTGTATACCCTTTAATAGTGGGCGATTGAACCTGGTATAATACGACACGCCTCATTGTTTAGAATAAAGAAGTGAATTGGCTTACATTTACACCAGGAGTGCATAATCAATCTTTTAAAACGATCTGGTAAACAATGAATTATTTTAAATGAATGTTTTGTTTTCGTTTCACGATTCATGATTTTAGACATGCATCTATCAAATTAAATCAAAATGCATTGATTTGATATATTAAAGGTATAAAAAAGTAATGATGCAAGCACTATATTTTAAAAAACGGCGCCTGTGTTATATCTATTTAGTTCTTAACAAAGTCTTAAGTTATATATTTTGGTGGGTACAAGCTTATCAAAATCGTAGTTCAAACTTTCTGTAATAGTTTAATTTTTGTAGCTTTGTATAACTTATAACCACAAAACAGGTAGACTTGCGGTCACCACGAGTTTAAGCAAAAATTTCATACAAAATTTGCCTAAGCAAGGTTTGTAACTGTGTCTAACTTGTTTTTAGTAAGATCGTTGTATTCGTACAGACTCAGACGAATCCCGCGCGGGATTTGAACCCTTGAACATTGGAGTAGAAGGCAGAAGCGTTGCCGTTGACCAACCAGTAGTTTCGTTAAAATAAAATGATTATATGTAAATTACATTATTCACTTTTGTATAAACCTTTGTCATATGATTAAAATCTTATATCATGTTGGTTAAAAATACATAGTACGTAAAAGAGGCAGCAAGGCAGCATCAGCATAATTTCAATCAATCATCAATGTTACTGAATAAAGCAATATAAATAAACTAGCCTATGCTCGCGGAAACACTCGCATAAGATTTGACTTCGAGTGAATAAATGAATTTCAACTCAGTATAAAAAAGTAAAAACAAAACAATAAAAAGAGCCCTACAAAATTTCTCTCCAGACAATTAAGATAAGGGATTAAGTTCGCCATCTTGGTGCGATCTGCGACAAACTTTGAAACCCCGTTTTACCCATGGTAGGAGTGAGTTTAAGAAAAAAAAATTAACGCTCGTTTGCATCAAAATGGCTATTTAATGTATGTCAAACTTCAACGCAATCTGTTCAGTGGTTTGAGCTCAACGTTGATTGATCTGTCAGTAACGGTAGCCTTTTCTATATACATATGATTACCTATTTAGGTAGGTATATTGTTATTTTAAGCATTAAACTGTAAGATAGAAACTTAGAACACTTAAAGAAAATCTGCTATGCCTTTTGTAGTAAAAAACGGAATAAATATTGTTCCACAATGTAAGCCTAGCCAGCGTGTTGACAGTGCAACCATTGTGCATCCTTTAAGGTGCCACGGCGTCCGCGCAATGTGAAATGTGGAGCCCTTAATAGTTCTTGAAATGTCACCCTACTTGAATACTTTCATTGAATCTAAATGTTCCTATACATTGTCTACAAGAACAAGATGTTCGCTAATGGGACGCAAAGCAGTGAACAGGTGAATTTATCTACCATATGAATACCCATACAGGGTAAAAACCTTTTTAACAAAACTAAAAACCGAATTCATTAAAGTGACATTTGATCTTAAGAAGTGATTGGAGGAGGGAGGGTATCTTTCTCAGTCAGTTAGCCTCCGATTGCATGTATCAACAAATCAATATTACTTATTACAACTATGCTGCTATGATCCTACGAAGAGTTCCGTTCCGCATCTCCGAAGAACTTGATTAGATCAAATAATTTTTCTATGTGGCC